CAGAGAGAGTATTGTTAGAAGAATAAAAGGATGGGCATGGGTATAAAGGAGAGACAGCTGGCAAAGGAGCCGATGATGTTGGGGTGACAGGAATGATTGGAATAGAAATCTGGCATTGCATCTTCTTGTTTTGTTTAGTTAATTTAGAAATAATTTCTTGCAGAGAAGCAATTTTACTGCCTTGATGTCTTTTGGAGGCCTCCAGGTACTGATCAAACTAGGCATCCCATTGTGGCTGCCTGATTCAGGAGCCTTTATTTTCTAATTTACTGCACAAGAAAACTAGTTTATTTAGTTCAAAAGAACCTCATAGTAGCCACTCACCCTCTAGACTCTCTTTAGTACAGGCATGCCAGAACTCCAAAAACAGGCAGGCACATGGCCCAATATGTTTGTACGTATAAGGAGCTGGGATACTGAAAGGCAGCCCCACTTAGTCCTTAGAGTCAGCATTCCTCATCTTATTAAACAGAGAACTGCGCATACTATTAAGCCTGGAAGTGCACTGAAAACCTTAATGTGCACTGGATCTGACTGTGTACTGAAACCTTACTGTGCACCTAAGAAGAAAAGTAAGTTCCACCTTAATAGGCTGAAAATGACTCTGCTGAAATGTACTAAAATTCTGTCAGGCTTCTTTCATGGCACTGGAACTGTGTTTTGCTTAAATAAATGTGTACCTTTGATGGCAATGGGTTTGGGTTTTTCTCTTTTTTTCGGTTTCTGTTGCACAAACATTTGCTTGCAGTCAGTGGGCAGCATAATTCTCTGGCCCATCTCATATATGGTTTATGCTGTCACTGGAGACTATAACAGCTTTTGTGGCCAGCAATTATTATAATGGCTTCTAAGTAGTTGACCTATGCCTGTATTTTTGTTTGCAGCTTTATTATACCTGGAAGTATCATACTAACAGCCACATCAAACTAAATTTGGCAACAAACTCATCAAAATGTTTAGAGCATGAACTGAAAATCGAAATATAAGAGAAAACCAACAATAAATCTAAAAGAGCATCTATTCAAGAAATGGGAGATCGATTTGAGAGGCTTTTTACATGGGTGACTGCCAGGAATCTGGGGAAAGTGGTGAGCCCAAGTGGCTCTGTTCATATAAAGAGCCTGAAATCCATAATGTCCTGGGGACTGCCAAAAATAATGTGGCTTTGGATCTCAGGTATCTGACACCAAGAAGTGAATACTCACACTGTTAAAGTAAAAGCAGAGATTTATTGAGAGTAGTACAATTCGTTAACTGGGAAACACAAGGCAGAGAAGATTCTACCGAGTGCTCCAAAGCATGGAGGGAAAAGTGTGCTTTTATAGTAAAGATGGAGAAGGAGATTGAGTGATGGTCACATGGTGACAAGGTGGCATGTCAATCAGAAGCTCCACTCTCAATCAGCTGCTTCTGGAAACATCTTGAATAAGCTAATTCTCTTATACTCACAACATCATTAATATCGCACACAAGTAAAATCTTGCTGAAGATAATTCAAAAACGGTTGCAGATATATATTGACAGAGAACTTCCAGAAATGCAAGTTGGATTCAAAAGAGTATGTGGAATGAGGGATATCATTGCTGACATCCGATGGATCTTGGCTGAAAGCAAAGAATATCTGAAAGATGTTTACTTGTGTTTTATTCACTATGCAGAAGCATTTGATTGTGTCGATCATAAAAAAATTATGGCTAACATTGGGAAGACTAGGAATTCCAGAACACTTTATTGTGTTCATGAGGAACCTGTACATAGATCAGGAGGGTGTCGTTCAAGCAGAAAAAGGGATATTGCATGGTTTAAAATCAAGAAAGTAGTGCGTCAGGGTTTTATCCTTCCCCCATACTTATTCAGTCTGTATGCTGAGCAAGTAATCCGAGAAACTGGACTGTATGAAGTGGCATCAGGATTAGAGGAAGACTCATTAACAACCCGTGATATGCAGACAACACGACTTAGCTTGCTGAAAGTGAGGATGACTTGAAGCATTTACTGATTAAGTTTAAAGACTACAGTCTGCTGTATAGATTACATCTCAACATAAAGAAAATGAAAATCCTCATGACTGAACTAATGAAACAGCATCACGATAAATGGAGAAAAGATTGAAATTGTCAAAGATTTCACACTACTTGATTCCATAATCAATACCAATGGAAGCAGCAGACAAGACATTAGATGACATATTGCACTGGGCAAATCTGCTTCAAAAGACCTCTTTGAAGTGCTCAAAAGCAAAGATGTCTCTTTGAAAACTAAGGTGCGCCTAACCCAAGCCATGGTGTTTTCAATCGCTTCATATGCATGTGAGAGCTGGACAATGAATAAGGAAGACCAAAGAAGAGTTGATGCTTTTGAATTGTGGTGTTGGCAAAGCATACTGAAAGTACCATGGACTGCCACAAGAACTAATGAATCTGTCCTGGACGAAGTGCAGCCAGAATGTTCCTTGAAAGCGAGTATGACCAGACGTCGTTTGACCTACTTTGGTCATGTTGTCAGAAGGGACAATTTCTTGGAGCAGGATATCATGCTTGGTAAAGTCGAGGGAGGGTCAACAAAAGAGAGGAAGGCTATCAATGAGATGGACTGACACAGTGGCTGCAATGATGGGCTCAAGTATAGCAAAGATTGTGAGGCTGGCACAGGTCCGGGCAGTGTTTCGTTCTGTTGTACATAGGGTGCTATGAGTCACAGCTGACTCAATGGCACATAATAACAACAATAACACAACTTATAATTACATTCCTGGCTCCCACCCCCATGTGGCTAAACCACATTTCTGACCCTCTCTTTCCCCCTCCCTGCTCTTTATTTACTATGTGTTGCTGGGTGCAAGAGCCAGGTTGATTAAACAAAGTGGTTGATAGGGAGCGGGGTCTTCTGGCCCACCTAGCCAGAGGCCCAAGGCCATTTGCACGTGAATGGGAAGAAGTCAAGGTTACTCAGGAATGCAGATGCTGGAGCTTGTAACAAAACAGAATTTATGTCAGACATTTTATTATGCCAAGCGCTTCAGTTTTCGAGTGTCACTAGCATAAATGGCATGGCTAAAATTAAATGCTCTATAGTTTATAAAAGATAAATTTGCTTGTGATTTATTCTCCTTCTTGGGGCTAAGTGCAAGTCAATAGGAACATTCTTTATTAGACAAATATTAGTTCTACACTGCCCTTTTAGGTATGAAGTCTAATAGCAATGTGCAGATAATTATGGACAATATGTCTTTTGCACTTGAGATGTATGACTGGGTCAGTTGGTGCTATAACAAATCTTGTTTTTGAAAGCATACTTTTCCAAAGGTAACAAGTGATGTGAAAGTGATCAAGGGGTGCAGTATTCATCCTTTATATCAAGGGACACAGGAAACTGGGATCGTGCTTTTCTTATCTTTGTTTCCCCATAGGGCATGGCAGAGGACCTTGCATATTGGCCCTCAGTATGTGTTGAATGGCTAAATGAATGATTATGTATTCAGATGCAACTTCCTGCAGGTAAAATCAATAGTATATAAATTTTAAAGTCAGAACAAACCCAGAAACCATGTATGCTTTTCACAGGTGACAAGAGTAATGCACACTTTTCTGAGAGGTAAATGAAGATTAGAAGCCCATGACTAAGTTCTGCCTTTGCCCATTGCTCCACTTCTTTTCCTGTTTCTTTGGTGACACTAAATAGGCTAAGTTGCTTAAAATCCTTGTAGAAGCTTATAATAGCATAGAAATTCTAGCTTGCTTTGCAGAACTATTCCACTTCCTTTCATAAGAGAATCTGAACCATTAGGAAGATCTTCCTAATAAGTCAATTTAAACTCTTGATTCCAGGAATCCTCACTTCTCATATTACAGTCCTTAGAAATGAAAAATGAGTACTTACCAGTTTGTCTTACTGTTTACAATACACAGACATTCAATCCCACTGTTAATCAGCAAAATTCGACCTCAACCATTGTTAAAATGCTATGGAATGTATTCCAACCCTATACTCACTGTCAAGATGTTTTCCCTTAATTCTAAATTGCTCTCTAATAGTGACAAAAATTTCATCAGAATAACTTCTTAAATACATCTCAACTAACCAAAAAAACAAACCAAACTCACTGCTGTCGAGTCAGATCCGACTCATAGCAACCCCTCCTTGGGTTTCTGAGGCAGTATCTCTACAGAAGTAGATTGCCCAATCTTCCTTCTGAGGAGTGGCTAGTGGGTTTGAACTGCCAGCCTTCTGGTTAGCAGTCAAATGCTTTAGGCACTATGCCACCAAACTTTACAATACCTCATCAATATATTAAGGATCCCTCGTGACTCCGTGGTTAAGTGCTTGGCTGCTGACAATAAAAATTGTGGTTCAAATCCACCAGCCATTCCATGGGAGAAAGAAATGGCAGGCTGCTTCCATAAAGATTACAGCCTTGGAAACCGTATGGTTGGTTCTTCTTTGACCTATGGAGTTGCTATAAGTTAGAATTGACTCAGTTACAACAGTTCAGTGTTTTTTCTGTGTATTATCACCTCTGAAGTAGGTACTTCCATGTACCCAAATAAGCCAGATTCTGTCAATAAATTCTGGGATTAAATTAAAGAATCTAGGAGGTATCCTAAATATGTGAGGGTTTATGTATATACTTGTTTATTCTTCAACTATAGAACACTATTCTTTATACCTCATCAGCTGAGCCAGTCTAAACTTATTTTCTTTAAAATTTAAATACTGTTGTTGTTGTTGTTGTTATGTGCCGTCAAGTCAAACACAACTCATAGCAACCCCTCCTTGGGTTTCCCAGCAGTATCACTACGGAAGTAGATTGCCCCATCTTCCTTCCAAGGAGTGGCTGGTGGGTTTGAACCGCCAGCCTTCTGGTTAGCAGTCAAGTGCCTTAGCCACTATGCTACCAGAGCTCCCAATGCTAGGTATTATAAAATTGTTATTTTTCTAATTTACTACATATTGGGAAAGTTCTCAGTTTTAACCATATTATTTTATATTATTTATTACAGGACAACATGTTAGAAATTGGTACCAGTTGCCCAACTAATGAATCTAACTTTTTTAAAAAGCATTCATGTGATGATAATAAGGTAACGATAATTATTTGGAGTTTATATGTCATTCAAGCTTGATTTTACAGAAGCTTATTATTTTGTGCATGTGTTAGACAATTAAATTAATAAACATTTTCTTTCAGTTCTAACCACAATTTTGCATTGATTTATTATATAGTATTATGTTATAGTATAAATATAAAGGTTTTCTTTATATTTTTATTTTACAAATAACCCTATGTTTATTAGATTTTTCTGTTTCAGCATTTAGTTTTTCACCTTGAAAATACTAGACAAACCGCTGAAATCAAGGACACACATATCTCTTATTTCTGAATTCCTTTTGCAGGAAAATACCTGCTAAAGAGGAGCTCTGTGATTACTTGCACACACACAAAGCAAATTGTAAGATAATTTGATTGCTGGCATTTTGAATTTTTTTCTTTCAATATTTGCTTATCTTTAAACTACTATCACATCCTACTGGTATAATATTGCAATTTACAAAACCTTCAAACGTTTGTGTCATTTCTTTGTAGAGAAATTAATATGTTATTGAAAAATCTCTTAAATATCACAATAACTGAGTTAATCACATGGCATCCTATATTATATTCATAAATTCTTTTTTTTTTAATTTCTTGCTTTGAATATCTGAAATATGAGTACCTATGTCTTAGCCCAATATGTTCCTTTATTTTGTTATTAACAGGTATTCATCTATAGCTCAAAAGGTGCAAAAAATGATGACCATAAGATAGACCACACATACTTTTTATTATTGTAGCTTCCAGAAATCTTCTCTTTTGGATATCTTGTTCATAATAATCATACATGCACACTCAAGTGATAAGTTCACACTTGTATTACAAAGAAAAGACATAGGTGATTAGAAAATTAAACCTTGTTCTGTGTCCTTCATGCTGCCACCTAGGAGCTAAATAGTTTCTAGTCCTGTTATCTGTCAATCACAGTGATTAACTGGAAAAGAAAGCCAGTGTGCAGGTGAGGCATGGCTTAGAGGTACAACTCTGGCTTTAGGCTTCTTAATAAAGCTTATCGTTTCATTATATTTTATTTGAACCACTACTTTTCTGACTTTCTTTCTAAAACAGGAAGCTATGTTTCTATATCGGGCTGCTCGCAGGGTAAAGCAATTTCTTAAAATGAATATCAGCGAGGATTTCAATCTCCACTTATCAATTGTTTCAAAAGGCACATTAAAACTATTGAACTGCACCAGCAAGGTAAGCTGACCACTATTTACTTGGATCAAAAATATAAGCTACTCCTGTGTTGGGCACTACAGTTCTCTGTAGGTCATATCCATTATCAAAGAATTCTAAGTGCTTAGAGTTGAAATACATTTACTTAATTCTAGAAGAAGAAAGCATCAACTTGGGAACTACCTATTCATCTCTTGCTTAATAGTTTATGAAAGAGGAATAAAAAATAAATGAATGAATGCTTCATTGCCATAGTAATTTCCAGGGAGACTAGGGTGATAAATTGGGTGGGAAATAGTACTTTTTTTTTTAATTTTTAAAACCTATTCATAATTTTAATCCATATATACACACATTTATAAGAACTCCCAACCAATAAAACACATAATCAAATATATCCAACAAATATCTTTATATACTCACACAGAGCATGTATGCGGCTAACGTTTTCTATTTCTTTGCTCTAATAATTCTGATATGGATATGGATAATTTTTCTTTACTTATGAAACATAACTCGGAAGGAAGATGGGGCAATCTACTTCCGTAGTGATACTGCCTCGGAAACCCAAGGAGGGGCTGCTATGAGTTGGGTCCGACTCGACGGCACACAACAAGAACATGAAACGTAAAAACAAAACAAATTCTCAAATCTTGAGACTGGGCAAGAGTTTCCTTATCTGCAAAATGGTGAGAAATACAGCATCTACATTATAGGATGTTGAAAGGATTAAATAGCATAATTCATGTAAAATGCTTGGTACCAAAAAGATTTCAATAAATGTTAAATTTTATTATCATTACCATCATCATCCTCTTCAAGGATTTTACCAGCTGCCACACAAAGACAAAAGGTTTAGTATGATTTTTTTTAATTAACATTTTTAAGATACAAAAAGAACATTTGTTTTGTTTCGAATACCAGTAATTTCCCATAGAAGGTAAACTGGTAAGAGTTTCCTTGAACTACATTGAAAGTGATAAAAATAGACGTTATAACTTGGTCAGCTTCATTTATCACTGCTTTATTTACTTGGTGCAAACCAGTCATCGTTTGGTGTTCTAGTTTTGCCCAAGCTTGTTTCCAGCTTTGTGCACCTAATGTTAGGAATTTCTGCTTTTCTCTATTATAAACCTGATGGTAGATAGGTTTCATGTTGCTTACATGTGCCTAAGGCATTTGACTATTAAACAGAAGGTTAGCGGCTCAAACCTACCAGCTGCTCCTTGGAAGGAAGATGGGGCAATCTTCTTCCATAAAGATTTAACACCTCGGAAACCCAATGGGGTCACTATGAGTCGGAATTGATTTGATGGCCGTGGGGGAAAAAAAATCATGTTTTAATTGATTAGTAGTGACCTTTGGAAATATTAAGCTGGGTATAATAAGCCTCATGTCTGGAATCAACTGAAATGAGCATGAAACAGACAATCAGAGTTAGAGGTATGCTATCTATTTGCAATCATTTCTCTCATGTTTTGAGCTCTGTATGGATCACCATGTTTCAAGAGCAACTATTTGTAGAGAAATAAAATATATAAATAATTCAAATAAAGTTGTGTTAGGACATTAACCTGATAAAATCCACTTTTTCATTGATATGATCAGGCAAGCTATTAAAGAAGACAGCTGTGCTAATTTTTTTTTTTTTTTTTTTTTTTTTTTTATGAGCCCAAAATGCTATAAGCTAGTATTTTTGGTTGTTGTTTTATTTTGTTTGTTTCTTATGGTGACACTTAATAAAATGTATGGTTTTCACAATACTGACTTATTTTTATGTTGACTTAAATGCTATTTTTAATATACTCTGTTAATACTCCTCGGAAGGAAGGTTGGGCAATCCTACTTCCGTAGTGATACTGCCTCGGAAACCCAAGGAGGGGTCGCTATGAGTCGGGGCCGACTCGACGGCACATAACAACAACAACAACAATGTTAATTTTTCATACCTCATGGCAGTTAACACACTGCTGAATTATGAATTCAAGACATTTAGAAAGCTAACATCTCTTGCTTCCTCCTTTAACCTGATAACCTCTTTCTACATGAAATCAGTATCTTGCCATCCTAACAATTGGGAATTTAAACTAAATTCTCAAATCAATTAGGTGAGCTGAGAATAATGTGAAAATTAGCTATTAAGATTAATGGGAGACACAATAAATGATTAATATTTCATATTGTAAATGTGACTTTGTTTTTAAGGATAAAGAAAGAAAAGCACCTTCCCTGGGTGAAGCCCAACCCACAAAGAATTTGGTGAGAGTAATTGTTTAATTTTTATATATGACGTTTATATAATGATTCATCAGTTCTTCACTCAACTCAGTTCCTTAATGTTTCTCTTTAAATTTTTATTTTTTTCCTCTCTGTGATTGGTTTTGAAAATACTCATTATAATGTTAATAAAGGGAGTAGGGAGGACCTTCTGATGATTGGATCCCTTTCAACTGCATTTTTAAAAATACTCCCTTAAAAGAAAAAAAAAGCTTGAAGAATTCAGAGTATTGATTTTTTATTTTTCTTTTTAAGAAAAAGCAACAAGGTTAACACTTCTGTAGGAAATAGGCAAACGATACAAACAACTTATAAAGGAGAAAATAAACTAGAAAGAACTTGTATGAGGAAAAAAGCCATCCTGGTTAGTTACTAAAGAAATGTAAATTAAAATGAGGATCCATTTTATATCTATTTTATTAGTATCGATAGATTGTACAGTATGCAATATATATACTATCTCTACATTGTTGTTGTTGTTGTTATGTGCCGCCAAGTCGGACCCAACTCATAGCAACCCCTCCTTGGGTTTCCGAGGCAGTATCACTACAGAAGTAGATTGCCCCATCTTCCTTCTGAGGAGTGGCTGGTGGGTTTGAACCCCCAGCCTTCTCGTTAGCAGTCAAGTGCCTTAGCCACTATGCTACCAAAGCTCCCTATCTCTACATAGTAGTATATAAATAACCTTTATTTATATATTATATTTATACATAACTACTAAATAGATATTATTTTAGAAAATTTTATGGAAAATATTTATAAAAGAGAAAGGCATGAAAAGTTTAATCTGGTTAACACTTTAAAATGATGTAAGTCCATAGCTAGTATGGGACATGGAAAAATAAACACAGCTGGTTTTTGAGATTTTTATTTCCATTATTATTATAAGATTATTTGACCAATAAATACATGGGAACATAGAAATTCCTCACTGTTCTTGGAGAAGCAGAAGGAGTTTGCATACTCTTGGACTCAGGAAACTTAGTAACTCCTTTGAAATGGAAGATTTGACACAGATACATGAGCTGAAAAGCAATCTGAAACTAATGAGGGCTTCTGGCTATGAAAATTTGGAAAGAAAATGTAGAAAAGAGAGAGAATATCCATGTTCCCAGTATTGTAGGTTCTTTGTTTTTGTCTTTCAATAAATACTCATTCTTGGGCTCTTGAGGAAAGTCATGCAGTTTCACATTTATGAATTGCAAATATGCTTAGTCAAGTAAACTTCAATTTATACTTTAAAAAAAATGCTCTGGGACCCTCATTAACAAATTATGAATTTGCCTCCAAATCTTTCGGCTAATCTTTGAAATGTATTATTGATAGGGCTTTGTGTTAGTGTTAATAAATACATAACTAAAAGAGATCCTAATTTGTGAGCAAATTAAAAAATATATATACAGGCTCTGGATTAGGATCGATTTGGACACAAAACCCAGTCACTCTGCTTACTAGCCTTGTGATCTTGTCAGGTTATTTATACTCTTCGAAGTGCAGCTTCCTAATCTATAAAGTAAGGTGAAATCATCACGTTCATAAGGGTCATTAAGTAAATACAATGAAGTAAATGTATGTAAAGCATTAAGCATAATACCTGACCTAGAAAACACCCAGTAACTGTCGTTATTGAAGAATTATCCTACCCTATACTAGTGATACTGCCTCAGAAACCCAAGGAGGGGTTGCTATGAGTCGGGTCCGACTTGACGGCATATAACAACAACAACAATACTAACCTCAGAAGGTGCCCTGGTGGTGTAGTGGGTAAGGCAGTTGGCTGTAAACCAGAGGTCAGCAGTTCACACCCACCATCTGCTCTTTGGGAAAAAGATGAGGCAATCTAGTTCCGTAAAGATTCATAGCTCTGGAAACCCAGTGAGGGTCACTGTGAGTTGGAATCGACTCAATGGCAGTGAGTTTGGTTTTTGAGATTAGAGGTGCCTTGGAAGGAAGGCTTGGAGATCTGCTTCTGAAAATCAACCTTGGAAAATCCTATGGTGTGCAGTTCTACGCTAACACACTTGAAGTTGCACGTTGTGGAAGTTCTTAAAAACAACCAGTTTCTGCATGAATTCAATTATTCTTCTATGAGGCTTCTGGCTTCAGGGAGTGAAGTTAATATAACCAGTTGCCATTGAATGGATTCAGGCTCACGGGGACCCTGTATGTGTTAGAGCAGAACTGTGCTCCATAGGGTTTTCTAAGGCTAACTTTTCAGAAGTAGATTGCCAGGCCTTTTCTTCCAAGATACGTCTTGGTGGACTTGTACCAAATGAGTTTATTGGCACCACCCAGGGACTCAGTTCATGCAGAGCTATTCCCTTATATTTCTCTACTTTCTGTACGGTTTTACAGTTCTCATCAGAGGATGAAAATTAGCTTATGGAACTAATAGCTTATGGAACATCTGGTGAAGGCCAGATGATGGGGTAGACCACAGGTTCAACTAGGTTGATTCTTATAAACCTCCTTTGATTAAATCATCTGAATACTTAGTCTTAATTACTTCTACTAAACATATGTTTTTCCATGTTTTATTGTCTGCTTTTGTGGGGTTTTTTTTCCCTTAATGGAAGAAATAATATTTAAAAAACTATTTAAAAAAACAGACTTCAATTGACTCTTCTACAAATATCTTTCTCACAAAAATGTTTAAATAGCATTATTATGTTCTACAGTTGCAGTGTGAAAATGTCAGCCACCTGACATAGCACTTTGATTAACCCTACACACCAAACCACACCTACCTTGAATTTCCTATACCTTAATGACCAAAATTATACTTAGAAGCTGCAGGTTAAGAAAAATCCTGCAAGATTCTTCTTTTTGTTACACCAAAATTTGTACCAAATTTTCAGTGAGGCCTAACATGATGGAAATTATGTTAGGTGCTGTGGAATTAATTATTAATTAGTATTAACTAGTATGATAGATTGACTACTAAAAAACCTAATATTTTTATAAAAAAATTGCAAATAAAATCTTTGTATATATTTATTTAGGAAGAGAATAAATTCTTGAAGGAACAGAGAAAACAGAATGACTTGTGTTTCCTAAAGAGACTACTAGAGAAGATAAAAACTTGTTGGAATAAAATTTTGAATGGTGCTAAAGATCCCTGAAAAATATGGAATAGCAATACAGAAGCATATGACCTTAAGTTGCATCCATCAAGAATTTGTTCATGCAACTTTTGGAGGGAGAGAATGCCTCCTAGAAGCTACTGACTGCATCCTGGTTAAAATGGGTTGAAACCATTGGAAAAAAAATATCTCTATATTAATACTAGAAGATGGACATTAACAATGGAAACCGAATGCTGCAATCAACAATGCATTTCATATGTAAGTGGGCACGTATCAATCTGTATTAATTCTGAACTGACTTTATATAAGACAATTTATATAAAGTACCAGGTGCAATAATACTTTTTAAACTTGAGATTTTCAGGGGAAAAAATATCAAAGCTATGAAGTATAATGGTTGCAGGAATGGATTCCAAATTAACACTGTTTAATTATCAAAATAATTTTATGGCCCACTCTGCATCTGTATTCTGCATTAAGAGTGGAAATTTGCATCTTCTTGGCTGGAAATGTTTCAGGGTTAGCAACACAACGAGTGTTGCCTATGAGAAATAGCAAGTCACACACCTTAAAAAGAAGCAACAGCATAAAGGGGTCCAAAATACTTAAGAGAGATATCAAGAGACTTAGTTAAACATGAATGTTTAACACACTGCCTTCAACAAATGGTATATCAAATGTACTTAAATGAAAATAAAGAATAATTTCAAAAACAGAAAGCCATTTCTTCTAAGGATGCTAAACTGTAGTACTGAGTTACTTTTGTCATTTATGTATAATAAAACTTGTCTAAATGAGTTTGCAATTTGTGAGGTATATTTTTAAGAGAATAATATATGTTGGTCTTTTATTCAATACAATATGTATATTTAATTTTGACACTGTATCTGTATATAAAAATATTTTCATACATATTACAAACAAATTCCTTACTTTTGGATAACATTTCTCCTTTGATAATAAATGACCTATGCATTAACACTGTCAGATTCATTTAATGACCCCCAACAGAATTTTTCAAGACAAGATTTTTAATATTGCGTCACTATTTGAACTCCCACTTTCATTGAATATAACATCCTATTTTATTACCCAAAATCATGTAAGAACAGGAAAATGACTTTCTAAGTACATTAAATTGTAGTCTTTTAAAAGATACCTTTCTGTGGACAAGATCCCATAAAAAGAGTTCTGCAAACAGTCCTTCATCACTTATAAAGGTGAAAGGAAACACTATTACAAGCAGGCCAGATTTCCTGCAACAGCCACCAGTTTGCAGTTTGTTGAACTCTCATCTTCCATACTCTCTCACAACTCTACCATCATTGAAGTGTTAACTGGCTTTATATGATCGACAAAAGATGCTCAAGTGAAAGCTTCAAGATGTGCTGGTAATACTTTCTCTGTGTCTGCATCTGTCTCTCCTCACTGCCCCCAAACGTGAGTGAGTTTCTTCCTCAGTAATATCATTGTAAGGAGCCCTGGTTGACTGCTAACCAAAGGGCATTTGTTCAAATGCACCAGTCGCTCTGCAGAAAAAAAGATGAGGCAGTCTGCTTCCATAAAGATGTACAGCCTTGGAAACCCAATGGGGGTCGCTATGAGTCGGAATCAACTTGATGGCAGGGTATTGAGTTTGGTTTAGAGTGCAGTTGCACAGAATTGTATATAATTATTATTAACAACTGTAAAGAATTAACTTTTACCTCATTAATGGGCCCTTGAGTCAAATTTGTTTTCTGTTTGGATTTCACTGCGAACTCTAGAAAGAGAAGTTGATTAGCATTTTTTAGAAGCAAATGATCCTTCACTAAGCTATCCACCAAACCAAACACACTGCCATGGAGAGACGATTCCAACTCACAGCAACCGCCTTTGAGTTTCCAAAGCAGTAAATTTTTATGGAAGTAGTTATGTTCAGTTAATTATGTGGTACAACTCCACCATGATGAAGGAATTTTCTCTTGGATATTCACAATTTATGTAAGTATTATAGAGGCTCCAGGAATTCAAAAAAGTACTAAGTATAAAAATATTTATAAAGTATACTAAAACCACAACCAAACTCACTGCTGTCAAGTCATCTCTGACTCACAGTGACCCCTCCTTAGGTTTCCGTGGCGAATCTTCCGTCCAAGGTGGGTTTGAACCTCCAGCCTTCTGGTTAGCAGTCAAATGCCTTAGGCACTACACTGCCAGAGCTCCCATAAAGTATATAGAACTATAATTTAAGTAAAAATAATTAACCTAATGCACTTTGGGAATACTTGCTTTCTACAAAAGATCTCAGGTTAGAAGTTTTGTAAAACAGGCTTCCAAAGAATCTGCTGAAGGAATCACTCTTTTGGAATTTTTCTTAAAGATTCCATCCATGGAAAACCTGAACTAGAATTTTTTGTTTCTTTTTGTTTTCCTTTAGGCCATATGTCCACTGATAGCCAGCTTAGTGAAGAAAGATGTTTTACCAACTCCACTATAGACATTTCTCTAGAAACATACATCCTCTACTCTCTTGAGATCAGCCTTTATGGTGATCTATACGTATCATCTCTATGTCTTTATTCATGTTTTCACTACTTAGAAAGCTCTACTCTCTCAATTTGTTTCTCAGTTTTTATCACCTTCATGATAATTCCATATAATGTTAACATTTCTTCCTTTGGTTGCATGTATGCTATATCAATATTTGGTCATATTCATCTTAGGACTTTATTTTAACAATATTTATTATTTAAGTAATTTGTTTTCTATCCAAGCTTGTTTAAAATGTTTTCTCTCCCTTGAAGATTCTTCTATGCTCCCTTCAGCTCCCTAATGGGAAAAGCCAGATACATGGTTGTTGTTAGGTGCTGTCAAGTCGGCTCCGACTCATAGTGACCCTGTGTACAACTGAAGGAAACACTGCCAGGTCCTGAACCTGCCTCACAATCCTTGCTGTATCTGAGCGCATCATTGCAACCAGTGTCAATCCATCTCGTTGAGGGCCTTCCCCTTTCTCACTGAACCTCCACTTTACCAGGCATGATATCCTTCTCCAGGGAATGGTCCGTCCTGAGAACACGACCAAAGTAAAGGAGTAAAGTTGAATTGCATTTAAGTATTTCTATCGTGTTGCTATGAGTTGAAATTCACTCAATGGCAGTGAGGTTTGGGGTTTTATTCTACTATTAAAATCTATTTAAATCATTCAGAAAAGACATTTATACAATAAAGTATAAATTCCTCAATGATGGATATGATAAGACCTCTGGACTAACTAATTTTAATTTAAGAAGATATGAATCCACAGCTTTAGGTTCTCAACATTTCCATGGAAATTTCTTTGGTTTCTAAACTTCTTTGTTGAGAAACATCTCTCAGCCCTGCTTCTGACCAAATGGTAGGGTCTGTGGAAATAATGTAAGACAAGAGAACAAAACAGGTAGGTATGTAATTGCCAATTTCAACAGTTTTAAATGCCTAAATATAAAATGCATGCATTCACCTAGATCCACAAAATTAACTAAGTATTCAAGAGAGATGTAAAATTGTCATTTTATTTTGGAAATACCCTGGGGTTTGCTTTTGTTTTGCATCCTCTCCATGTAAAATGGTAAGAAATGCATTGTTCGTTATAAAGCAGAACATAATATAAAGAGGAGGGAGAGAGATTAGCATTCTTTAAGATACCATTCTAAAAGTGAATTGATTTTATATTAATATTTTACATGAAGAAACACAAGTAGCGACACTGACAATTTAGAGTTTCCTACTCTTGCTTGCCTGATTCCTTCCTTTGCTTGTCAATTTTCATCTTTGACACTTACTAGAAATTTTCTTATGTCTGAAGTAATCTGATTCAATTAGAAACATTTTACTTAAAAATTTAATTGGGCAAAAAATCTTGTAACATGTTTTGGAAATGGTCAAAATACTAAGACAAATGGAAGGACTTTGGTTTGCAGCACATCCAGTTAATTGAGGTGACAGCCTTTCAGAATCAGAAAGACCTTCGAGGAAAGTACACAAAGATGTTATCAACCTGTCATCTCCTTTTCTCACATGCCCTGAGCTGTGGAAAAGAGAAAGACAATGGATCTGTCTTTTGCCACAAGTGAACTTCTACTGCCCTGAGGATTATGAGGAAAAGTGATGTTGAATAAGTTACTGATAGTTCCATCTCTTCAACCTTATCCCTAACCTGTGAAGTTTTGCTTTTTAGATTAAATACAGAATCTATTTTAGATTGTGTATATTTTCACCACTGATTTAGTTTTTAAGTTTTATTTGAATGTTTCTTTAGGCTTAGGCTAATCTCATGACTCACCACTGGAATTTTTACAAAACACACACACAAAAAAATGCATAAATAATCTAACACTGGAAGGCAAAGATCAGTAAATGACCTGTTTTGGAGGAATTAACACTACCTACCACAGCAAAGCACCTCAATTAAAAAGCAGTCCATACTCTCAAACAATAACCAAAATGGAGGACTTCTATTTATTGATTATTAATCTGTAGACACCTGTGTCTATAGATACTAAATACATAGTACCAACGTAGTTTCTAAGAAATTCAAAATAACTTAGTCCTCTCTTTCAGACTATTTTCTCCCTCTGTGTGTATGTGCTACTATGCGTATTTGGAAATTATAGCAAGCCTGGCAGATGAGATCTAATAGTGCATTGTACCTTGGCATATGCAATCCTCTCATTCAGGATACACAGGAAAAAAGTGAGACTAACCCTTGGAAAAGATCATGACGTAGGAACTTCAGAGATTCCAGATTTCAATTAAAGTGAAGCTATGTTGTTGCTGTTGTTGTTAGGTGCCATCGAATTGGTTTCAACCACTGACCCTATGTGCAACAGAACAGAACGACACCCTGCCCAGTCCTGCACCATCCTCAGAATTGGTGCCATGCTTGAGCCCATCGTTGCAGCCACTGTGTCCATCTACCTCGTTAAGGGCCTTCCCCTTGTTCACTGACCCTCAACTTTACCTAGCATGTTATCCTTCTTCAGGGACTGATCTCTTCTGACAACCGGACCAAA